TATATATATATATATATATGTATATATATATATATATTAGTTTAGGTACGACTTATAAAGATGTAGATTGGAGTAGATATGAATTTTTGTATATAAATGAAGGCTAAAATTTTTCTTCAAAAATTGTAAGATATGCAAATCATATATTCATTATAAGACTTCATATCATGAGAAATAATATTATAATTTTTTGCAAGATTTTTAGGTAGATACCACGCAATTCTTATGTTTTTTCATATCTAACACTTACGCTTTCATGTTTGCATACATACCAAAAATATCACTTTTACAAACTTTTAAAAATAAAATACACATTTGACGCATAAATTTGGGATATCAAAGTATTACAAATATAACTATCAGACTTAGGAGTTATATATATATATAAATACAAGAGAATTACTTGGTATTTATGTAAATTAATTTCCCTTGAAATTAATAGTTGAAATAACTCTTATTTTATTTTTTTTCTTAGAATTTTCCTTTAATTTGCACAAAAAACAACATTTACTTAAAAATGTAAAAATAAAAATAAAGATAAAATAAAATAAAATAAATGGATGATTTTCAGTCCTAAGATATGTTGATGATATCAAAGCTGAAAATTCATATTGATGAAAAGGCATGATATATATATAACAAAATATTTTTTTTATGCAATGAAAAATTTTTATCATAATTATAACAAATTAATGAAGTGATGGCCAATATCTTTAGTAATAGAATTTTCTGCAAATTATAATTTATTTAAAATGCAATTTTATAATTTGAAGTAAGAAAATGAGCCTTCATGCGAAATTAATATTTGTCTACTGGTAATTATAAAAAAAAAATATATTATATTGATCGATCATGTATGAAAAAAACATATATCCATCACCTGCGGATGAGGCTCTCTAGGTTGAAGCAGAAACCGGGAAACATATCTCCGGCGGTTAGAGGAGGAGGAGGGGGGGGGGGGAGGAGGAGGAGGAGGAGAGAGAGAGAGAGAGAGGGAGGGAAGGAGTGAGAAGATGAGGAAGAGGAATTCATATTTTATAATAGTTGTGTATTTAATAATATTACCTGAATAGTTTCAATCAAGCTAGCCCTTCAATTTTTTTTAAATTATTATTTTACCTGAATTATGTCATATCTAAATTTTCATTTTTGCATAAGTAACATTTTGGTGCTTTTAATTTATGCATGAAAAGATGTGCTTCACTTATAAGTGATAGTAAGTATTTATGTGGTATGCATGTAAAAATGAATGTCTAGGTGAGAATGGTGTGCTGTGCATGCAAATGCCTTTCAATTTTAATATGTATGTATTTTTAAATAGTAAACGTTCAAATAAAGTTTTATGTTAATATCACATTGATCTTTGGTTTCTTTTAACAACGAACATTGAAATGGCAAAAATATACAATTGAAATAAAAGCCATGATTTACTAATAATGAGGCTATATATATATATATATATATATATATATATCCCAATTAAAGGATATTGAAGAATTTACAAATATAACACTCAAATTATTAAAATTACATATCTTTTTTGCTAAACTTCAATGTTTACATACCTAATGTCTGAAACATTCAAATAAAACACCCTTGGTTAAAACCCCTAATCTCACAACTCGCCTAACCTGTCTTCCTTAGAAGCGAATATTGCATGCATTGGGCATATATGTGGACCATGATATTTGGGTGATATTGTGGTAGTATTCAATGTCAATATCACCGTAATATCATCACAATAGCACGTCATTTTCACATAATTCGCATACACAATTGGCTTCTTGACGATGAGGGGGACTCTGGTGCATGTCTTGGCTACAGGAAACACTGACGTCCATAAGAGCTTCAAGGACAGATCCAACTCTCTCTAATTTATTATTGTACGCAACAAGTTTATATCATGAATGTGATTCGATGTCATTTTAATATTGTGTAGGTAACTTGAGAGATTGGGCTACTTGAACTAGTAGATAAGTTGCCACGACGGAGAAGACTTACATTAACGTTCATTGTCGGTCAAATTCTCATAATAAGATCAGCTTTAGAGTTCGTTGGATGAATTCATTAGCTAGGCTTTTATATTTGAGTGGGAAGCAAATATTGAGGGGACTTATAGATTATGGGATTTCTGGATGGTTTCTTAGTTAAAGTAGTTCCAAGCTACTTTTGAGGTTGACTAAGTGAGAGCTACTTATAGGTTTAACAACTTTGAAAGTCTTGTTTAATATAAAAATTTGATTAGTGCTATTTATGGCTCATATACTATAAATGGGATAGACGCTGGAGCGGAGCGGAGCCCACGAGCGGAGTGGAGCGGAGTGGAGCGGAAGGGGACCGGAGGGATCTGTCCAATCGGGGAGTTTCATTATGTGGGTTGGGGGTGCAGGGGCAGCACCCCCAAAGTTTAGTACAAAAGTAATTTAAGTAATTACATACTGTACTATAGGGTTATATATATGTCATGTCTGTAACCCTAGGTGAGCTGAATATTGTATTTTGTATTCTTTTCCGAATATTGAAAAGGAAGCTGCTGCTCTGCTCCCGAGGATGTGGGCATCTTTGTCGAACCTCGTTAAATATTTGTGTGTTCTTCTGGATTTGTGTCGATTACTGTTTTTCTTCTCCCAAAATTCTCAACAAGTGGTATCAGAGTGAGGTTCGAGAGCAGAGAAGAAAAATTTGGGCGACGCAGAAATAAAGAAGATTTTGGCAGAGGAGATTGGCGGCTAGCGAAGGATTTCGACAAGGTTCGCGGAAGTTTGGATTTTGGAGTAGAGCAAGTTTGAAGACGAAGAGGGCATCGAAGGCTTTTCCGCAAAGACTTCAAGTGCGACACCAGGCGAACGCGGACAATAGAAGTTTGGCAATCCTTTGGAGGAGTCGGCGTAGGAAGGCGTCAGCAAGATCGGTAGAGGCGCAGAAAGGCATCAGCGAGACCGATAGAGGAATCGCGGCTTCGGCTTCGGCGGTTCGGACGGGCTTCGATTCGACGAGAGGTTTCAGCGCCAGGCGAAGTCACTACAGGCAAAAAAGGAAGGTTCGACGTCAGTCTGGAGCGGAGGCAAAAATTGGAAGCTCTGATTTCATTCCTTTGCTAGAGGCGGAAGAAAATTGGAAGGAAATCAAGTTTTGATTTTTTTTTTTGCGGAGAAGAAAATTGGAAGAGAAATCAAGTTTTGATTTTATTCTTTTGCGGGAGACGGAGAAGAAAATTGGAAGGAAATAAGTTCTGATTTTATTCCTTTGCTGTAGAGAAGAAATTTGGAAAAGATATCTCTTCCAAATTTCTCTAGTGGCAATAAAAAAAATTTCCTCATATTAACCAGGAAAATCTTGTTGCATGCGAAGATTTTATAGGACGCAAAAAAGGCAAGGAAAGTGAAATTGATGCTACACTCGGGAAAGAAAAGACTTCTTTATGAAAGAAAAGCAGAAACGAAGCTTTTCTGAGAAGGAAAGCGGAGCTTTTCTGAAAGGAAAAATAAACGTTTCTGGAAAGCGGAGGTAGAGTTTTTCTTAGAAGTTTAATTAAGGAAAAATTTTTTTTCTGGGAAGTTAAATTAAGGAACAATTTTTTTTCTGGGAAACTTAATTAAAGGAATCTTAATTGAGAGATTATTTAAAAAGATTTGTGGCTCAACCCATATTAGTGCATAAAAAATACCATGATACGTTGCTAGAGAAGCATGGTGACCCAACCCACGGTGATGCAGTTGTAAGGGTATATGCATTTCTCCTAAAGGGGTTGGATATTTGCAAAGGTGGAGATTTAATAGATATGTCTCATAATACCAGAATTTGGAGTCTCTTGGAATGAAGAGATGTCTCTTGGAATTGAAGAGTTGTGTCTCTTGGAATTTAGTGGGTTGAGGGGATTAGCGAGGGCACAGCGGAAGCGTGATGACTCAACCCACATTGGTGCATAAGAAACTCTATGATATATTTCTCCTAAGGGGCTGGATATTTGTCAAGTCAAAAAGTGGAGATTTGTTGGGTATATGCATTTCTCCTATAAAGTCTAGATATTCTCCAAGGTGGAGATTTGTTAGGTATGACTCATATACCATAAATGGGATAGATGTTGGAGCGAAGCGGAGCCCACTAGTGGAGTGGAGCAGGAGGATCTCTCTAATCGGGGGAGTTTCATTATGTTGGTTGAGGGTGCAGGGGCAACACCCTCGCAGTTTGGTACAGAGGTAATTTAAGTAATTACATATTGTACTATATGGTTATATATATGTCATGTCTGTAACCCTATATGAGCTGAATCTTGTATTCTGTATTCTTTTCTGAATATTGAAAATGAAGTCGTCACTCTGCTCCCAATGATCTAGGCATCTTTGCCGAACCTCGTTTAATCTCTGTGTGTTCTTCTGGATTTGTGACTATTACTGTTTTTCTTCGCCTAAATTTCTCAACAATTAACAATACTTAAGTGAATGTGGTCACATATAATTGGTTTCCCAAGTTTATTGTCCCTTTAACATAATAAAATAAAAAATAATATAAGAACCCAACATAGCCTATGTGCCCCATTATCACGATCAACATGCTTGATTCAAGCCATCAATTCAAAAGAGTGGTTGAATAATTACACTGCTTATTCACAATCATTATAAGTTCAACCCCTATGTTTTTTTTTTTTTTGTCATCCTTACTTTGAGATTAGTTTGGCTCATCTTTAAATGGTTTCATTTGTTTTAATGATGGAAAAATTTGTTGAGATATATATATCTAGCATATATATATATCAAAGTTTAAGTTCATTGTAAATTTAAGAAGAAAGTTGCCAGGAGCTTTTTTGATGGTAGAAGACTCCTAAATTATAGCGAGTATCCCTTTGTCTAGGAAGGTGATGATGAATATGATAAATGAGGATGAATTTGTTTTTAAAATTTTTTATGGATCAAAGAGTCATGCAAATGAAATGTAAATTTGTGAAAGGCACGAACATTGATGCTTGCAATTATTAATAATTCTCCTTACTAAAAGTTAATAATGATGAACAAAACACTCATAATATTTCTCCTTGTTGTCAAGTGGAGAGATCTTTAAATTATCACAACCTCAACACTCAATCTAAGAGAGCCTTATTTTAAATCTAATATTGATCTTCACCAAAATTAGGATGACAAAGAGCTTTAAAGTTAGATCAACTTTGAGCATAGTCCAATATAAATTAGCATGGATCATACTCATGTAGAAATAAATCTAAGAGTCTCAAAATTCTACTGACATGTTTTTTTTATCAAAGTTTACTTTAAGAAAAAGCATATCTAAACAAATAAAAAAGTGAAATTTTCATCCATACCACAAAATGCTTATTTATTTATATCTCTAACACCTAAAGTTTGATATTTAAGCATTTAGGAGTTAAGAACCTAGGAATGAAAAAAAGTATATTTCACATTTAAAATTTAATAATAGTGATATTTCTTAAGTGGTTTCAAAGATTTTAGTGTATATATGTCCAAATGAAAATATTTTTGAATTCACATTCAACACACAATCCCTATCTTTTCATGCATCCTCTTCTTAATTGCAACTAATCTAAACTTCAAAGATTCCTATACCCATAACTATGAGAAGGTGTCTGAGAGAAAAAATCCATGAAGAAAAACTATGCAATAGAGAAGAAACATCATATAGTTTAATACTTTTAGGAGATAGGCACTCATATAAAATCTTCATGTACATTGCCATCTCTCATATTTTTAAATATTTTCATATAAAACCCATATCTTTTACATAAGATGTGGTCCATTATTTAAGTTATTTTTAATTTTATATATTTTTTTATTAATATATACAAATTATTGAAGGAAAAGTAGGACAATAATGATATAGGGTCACTTCAAATTATTGAATGTAAAGTAACCAAATTTGCATCAAGGTATTTTAATCTCATTGTTTTAAGATAACTATAGCCAAATTTCAATTAAAATATTATGGCTCAAATTTCTTCTTAAATGAAAAAAATTTAAGTGATGATATCTTAAATAAAATATGATTATGATGTATTTATAAATGATTAATTTTGTTTTTAAAGTAATATAATTCATTAAGTTATTATTTTTTGTGCATTTTACTAGTCACAAAAAAAAAATTCATCTTGATCAAATTTTTATTATATTATCTACATCCCATTTTAACAAGATTTTTCTTTTCTAATTTTTTTTTCCATTCCAAAAAAACAAAGATTAACAAGAGTTTAACTAGGAAGGAATTTAAAATTATTGAACTTTGTATTCAGAGTGATTCATTGCATGAGCAAAATGAAATTGGAAGGGGGCATCTTGACCTAATTTTGAACAAAATGCAAATAAAATTTTGATTCCTAGTATTTCTAGCATATCTATCAAAGTTTAAGTTCATTATAAATTTAAGAAGAAAGTTGTCAGGAGCTTTTTTTTATGGTAGATAACTCCTAAACTATAATGAGTATCGCTTTGTCTAGGAAGGTGATGATGAACTGAAGTTGTTTTTAAAATTATTGGTGGATCAAAGAGGCATACAAAAGAAATGTAAATTTGTTAAAGGCGCCAACATTGATGCCTACAATTATTAATAATTCTCCTTACTAAAAGTTACTAATGATGAACAAAACACTCCTAATATTTCTCCTTGTCGTCAAGTGAAAAGACTTCAAAACTCAATCTAAGAGAGCATTATTTTAAGCCAATATTGATGTTCATCAAAATTTGGCTGATGATGAGCTTTAAATTTGTTAGATAAACTTTGAGCTTAGAGCAATATAAATTAGCATGGATCATACTCATGTAAAAATAAATCTAAGAGTCTCAAAATTCTGCCGATATAATTTTTATCATAATTTATGAAAAACATATCTAAACAATTAAAAGGTTAAAATTTGCATCCATACCACAAAATGCTTATTTATTTATATCACTAACACCTAAGGTTTGATATTTAAGCATTTAGGAGATAAAAACCTATGCATGAAAAAAGTATACTTCACATTTAAAATTTTAATAATAGCGATATTTATGAAGTGGCTTCAAAGATTTGAGTGTATATATGTTCAAATGAATTTTTATTTTTTGAATTCACATTCGGCAACTAATCCCTATCTTTTCATGCGTCCTCTTCTTAATTGGACTAATCTAAAACTTCAAAGATTCCTATAGCCATAATTATGAGAAGGTATATATTTTCATTTAACACCCATATCTTTTTATATATGATGTGGCCCATTATTTAAGTTGTTTTTAATTTTATATATATTTTTTATTAATTTATCCAAATTATTGAAGGAAAAGTAGGATAATGATGATATACGGTCACTTCAATTTATTGAAACTAAAGTAACCAAATTTGTGTCAATGCATTTTAATCTCATTGGTCTAAGATAACTATGCCCAAATTTCAATTAAAATATTATGGCTCAAAATTTTTATTAAATGAAAAAAATTTAAGTGATGATATCTTAAATAAAATTTGATTATGATGTATTTATAAATAATTTATTTTGTTTTTAGATGAGTATAATTCATTAAGTTATTATTATTCATGCATTTTGCTAATCACAAAAAATAAAAAGAAATCATCTTGATCAAATTTTTATCCTAACATCCACATCCCATTTTAACTTTTGTTTTCTAAATTTTTTTCGCATTCCAAAAGACATAGATCAACAAAGGTTTAGCTAAGAAGGATTTTAAAATTTTGTATTCAGAGTGATTCATTGCATGAGCAAAATGAAATTGGAAGGGGGCATCTTGACCTAATTTTGAACAAAATGCAAGTAAAGTTTTGATACCTAGTATTTATGATATATTTAAATGTCACTAAATTATTTGATTTTAATTTATAGATAACTTTCAAACAATAAGGACATTTATTATAAAATTACTAGAAAATAAAAAAAAAATATTAAATGTATGTAATCATTAAAAAATTAATACATGCAAAAAAAAGGGAAGCCTTAGACTTAGCATTTAATCATATAGAGCCATAATGAGCAGTACATGATTTAGCCAAATAGAACTATAGGAGTTAAATAATAATAAGAATATCTGTAAATAATAGTTTTGATAGATTAAATTTTGCCCCCATTTGACACAATTTTCTATTGCAAATCAGTCCTCCAAGTATGAAGCTTGTCAATAAGATATTATGACAATCAACATCATTCAGTTAATATTACTCTTAAAATATAGGTATTAGAAATGAAATACATAAAAATTGTGTGGCATTTCTGTAAATCTTCTCCCCAAGAACTGTTGCAGGTAAGCTTCTGCCTAACTTCCAACAGCGATCTAATCCAAACTATTAGCGCTAAACACCGCTTGTGAATTCGACTGCTGGAGATAGATAGAGCAAGACGAAATATGTCGAGGCCAGAGCGAAGCGATGTCCATCTCCCGCCGGAGGAGGCGAAGAGAGTGGAGGAAGAGACGCGGCGATACTTTGAGAAGATGATCCCCAAACGCCGCCCCAAGCCTGCACGCAGTGATCCCGACGGCCTTGACGGCGATCTTGGGCAGTTCGGAGGGGATTCGATTCCTGCCGAGCTCCGGAAACTCCAAGAACTCAACGCCGGGGAACAGGTGAGTCGCTTCGCCATCCCGTGATTGATTAGGGTTCTTCTATTTGTTAAAGCGACAGTGATTGATTATTTAATTGGAGTTTTGTGAGAGGGCATTTGTGTGACTGAGGGCAACGCCCTTGTCGTTTTCTTATTTTGGTGCCTTTTGACTGACGAAACTTGGGCTCGCAGAAGCTGGTGTGTGAAGGCGACGGGGCTGTGGAGGAGTATGTGGAGACGGAGTATTACACAGGGCTCCACTGCATCGACAAGCAGCATCACACGGTAGGCCACTGAAATCATTGATGCAAATTTTGGGGTTAATTAACCTTTACAGCTATTTCGCTACAAGTAAGGTTTAACTTAGATTGGATCTATCAGTAAATATGGTGGGATTAAAATTTGAAGACTTTTCGACTTGATAACTTTTAAACCTTGCTTTAGATATTTTTGGAGAGGGAAAGAATCCTTACATTTATTAAATCTTGTTAATAAAGACTGATATTGACCCAATTTAAACGATCCCCTATATAAGTGAATGGTTATTGGGTGACAATAGTCAATTGATGTCAGTCAAGCAATAATCGTCTGCAGGTAACTGTTAAATGATATCAATCAAAGTATGGCAAGGCAACTGTGATTTGAAATAAATATCTGGAAGTTTATCACAGTTTAGCAATTGTCATGCCCAACAATTTTAACATTTTAATCATGTCAAATTCAAATAATTCTGAATTTATAGAAGTTACTAAATCATAATCAAGTTAAATTCTACTTATAGCTCAAACAGCTTTTTCTGGTGATAATAAATCTTACTAATCCTCCAGTCTCTTTGTGTTTTAACTGCGGTGAAATCATAATGGATTTATTAGATAGTAAAGAAGGATCTTAAGTACCAAGTTCAGTTTCAAGGAATTTTTTCTTAAAAGTTGTGATATGCAAGTAAATAAGAAATACACCTTCTCATGCAAGGTAAGGTGTCATATATATACAAATTGAAGTTTAGGTGTTAGATATGCAAGTAGATAAAAATTAAGTGGTATGTATGTGAATCTTCTTAATTTGTGATATGCAGGCAAGCTGCTTTAGGATTGACTATTACATCCAAATCCATAAAGCAAGCTGTTCTTAGATTAATCTTTTTTAGTGGATGCCATCTAATTTAATTGATAAAAATCTATAAATGTTATTGTCAAGGACTTAAATTTGAATTATGCTTATATCAAATTTGTGTGTTTGCCCAATGTTCAAATCATTAGAAGGAGGGAACGTTTTAGATATTTTGGGTCTATTGTTCAAAGTGACGGTGATATAGATGGGGATGTTATTAGTAGAATTTAAGTTGGATGTATGATGTGGAGGAATGCATTGTGCCTATTGTGTGATAGAAAAGTACCGCTTAAACTTAAAGGAAAATTTTAAAAGATGGTATTGAAAACTGCAATACTTTATGGCACTGAATGTTGACCTATAAAAGAGAAGCATAAAACTAAATTAAGTGTTGCTGAGATGAGAATGCTTAGGTGGATGAGTGGCTTTACACTTAGAGAAAATGAGAAATGAATATATCCGTGAAAGGATTGGAGTAAGTCTAGTGGCAGAAAAAATTATAGAGCGTCGTCTTGGACGTTTTGGACCACATTAAATGTAGACTATCTGATGATTTGATTTGAAGAGTAGATGTTTTGGATTCGACCTGTGTTAAGAAATGTAGAAGTAGACCAAAAAAGACTTGGGCAAGTTGTATAAAAATGATCTTAACTTATTAGAATTAAATGAAAATCTGGCACTCAATAGGACACAGTGGAGAAAAAGGGTTCATGTAGCCGATCCCACTGTGTGGGATAAAGATTTGTTGTTGTTGTTATTGTTGCATTTACCATTTCCGAAATAAAGCTTTATATTTTCAGGTCAGTTCAAGATGGAGAAGATTTTCAGTTTTAGTCATTAAATTTGGTTTGAAATTAGTGTCATGGTTCATTTAGGGCTACTATTTCACAGCTTTGATTTTAAAAAATTTATCATATTTCTAGTTAGTTACAATTTTCTTGCTTCTTTTTAAAAATTTTCTAGCAAGATATGCTTTTTATGACTATATGTGTAGAGTATGGTAACAATAAGAAAATTGATGTCCAATTTTTCCATTTTTCTGGAAGAAAAACTCTCTAATGCTAGATAATTTTCAGAAAATCCTATTCTCTCTATAACAATGCTACATCCTTTTTTAGAATAACTACAATCTCTTCAAATGCTTTATCTCATAGCAAATTAAATGGCTAACATATCCCAATCAAATTTGAATCAAAATAGCTTGATCTCAATTTTGTCTATTCAAAATATGCAATGTTTATGTCCTCTGTAACTCATAATTTTAGCGGATATAGAACCCATGCTCAATATTTTTGATACTCCAATATTCTATATTACTCTAGATTACTTTATTGTACATATCATGTTGTTCATCAAGTTTCACTAAAAAAAGGTAGCAATTTACATATACCAAGCACATATGTCTTGTTTAGAACGTTTAAAACTCTAGCACGGTAGCTTAAGTATTGAAAATTGATTGGTTTATGGTAAGCTATGTCATATAAATTTTTTTATGTTTATAATTTCTTGCAGGAATAGCGTTTTTTATTGTTTCTAAAATCACAAACAAATGATTAACTTGCCTAAAATATACAATGGCGAAACCATAATTCGGAGAGAGAAGTGGCAAAAGCAAAATCACGCACAAAAAAAAAAGAAAGTTTAACTTGCTTCACTAACATAAATAGAAGAACTTTGTAAATAAGAATAATCTGCATATTCAAAAAATTTGTCTTGTAATCTAGCTACTATGTTAGGCCTCTTAAGTTGTGCTTAGCATATTCTTATTGCATTAAAATTATCAACCATTCACTTCAAAATTTATGGCAATTTCATTCTAACTATATGTTGTCAATTAACTTGCAATAAAACCATCTTTTATATTAATTCACAATTTTGTTTTGATAATCTTCATTGTTGAAAATGCATGATTAATTGTTTTAGCCGAAATAGGTAAAGTTAAGACCGATAAAATCGATCAATCAAAGGGTTTATGATCATTTTTTTCCTTTGTTAATATTTGACATAGGTTGGAAATTGTGCATAGATTTAAAAGAAAATTGATTTTGTTTATCTTTAATTTTAATTTTAATTTGTAAGGATAATTTTTTTGCGATCCATGGAGCATTTAAGCTAAAACCTTTTTGCAATGTAATATCAACAATGTTGAATGATTTAAATGCATTCTATGAATCCAATCCAATGATGAATTAAAAATCAATATTTCTACAACATATTTGTTAAATTTGCTATTTTTTTGTAATTATATCTCTAAAATAGTTGTGAAAATATTAATTTTATGATATTTTTTCACTATAATAGTATCTTTTCTATAATGAGGGTACCTTCAATCCAATATAGAGCATTCATATTTGAAATATGTGCCTTTCATTTTTCACCAAAAAAATGCATTGTTTATAGCAAATGTCTCATTCTCTCTCTCCGTCTCTCTCTCGTGCTTATTTTATGAAAATTTCTGGTGATTGACATCAGATATGTTTAATGCATTATTTAATGTTAAGAGATATCTGGTATTTGATCCTTTATCTGAAAGGAAGGTTGGAAGGTTCAACAATAGCAGTCTTTTTTTTTCCCCTCCTTATATTGATTGAGCTAGAAACAGTGTTTAACATAGCGTATAATTGAACTGTGTAAAATAGAGAAAGATTATTGCATACATAAACAACATGCAGAGATACATGCAATGTCCGATCTTGATCGTAGATCACAGTGATCTACGGTCAGGATGCAATCAATTTTTTTTTGAAAAAAAAAAAAAATTAAGTGGGGCCCACCGAAATACATCCTGACTGTAGATCACCGTGATCTACCGTCAGGATCAGACGCTGCATGCATCTCTGCATGCCGTGTATGTATGCAATAATTTTTCGTAAACTAGATATGTATAAGGAACATGCCATGCAAAACTTTGCAAGTTGTAGAACACGAAAGGAACTTGAATCTTTTCATTAAAGGGAAAATAAGGGCAGTCAAGACACCATAAAAATCAGTGTTGTCATCACCTTTGTTAGTATTTAGTCTAATATTTGCCTTACTAAGGCGTTTAATGATGTAATTGGCTGAGTTAATGCTTGAGTGGCTTTTATGCTTGCCAAGAATATTATCTAATTTTCTTTTATATTAACCCTTTTTTATGTTTTTGAGACATTTTGGCTCATGGATAGAGCTGTCAAATTGGCTTGTTGTTCACAAATAACTCGTGTTTTTGCTTGTTAAGTAGCTTATGTTTAATTCGTTCACTAAGCAAACGAGCTGAACACAGATATTTTTTTTTTCTTTGTGCTCGATATATAACGAGTCGGACACAAATAAAGATTTGTTCGTTCGTGTTCGACTCGTTTGGCCTCGAAATAAGTAAATTGGCGGCTTCGGCGTAAGACTCTCGGGTTGGAGGCTCGATCCCCCATGGTGCGGGATTCTCGAGTTTTCAGCACACCGGGCGAGCTCCCATGCTTGACGGGAGCTCGATCAAAGGGGTTGATCGGCGGTCTCCAACCATCGATCAATCTTTTTTAATATATATATATATATAATGAGTATGTGTTGTCGGCCATGACTTGTTGGTAAAGCAGCCTCTTTGAAGGTCGTAGGTCCCCTCAGTTCACGGGTTCGAATCCCCCTCTGGCCAGTTTACTGGTATTGTGGGCGGTCCTCGAATAGTTACACATGAGGGTGGTTGGGAGCTCGTATAATAGCCTCCAGTCATTCTTTTTCAAATATATACATATGCACCATGTACTCAGATCAATTGGTCAAACATCTGCTTATCAGTTGTAAATCTCATTTACCATTCAGGTTGAGGGTTCGAATCCCTTCTGACACAGTTGGTCTTGAGAAAAGTGGTACTTGAATTGCTAGACACATTAGGAGTGGTTGGAGGCTTGTATAATAGTCCCTGACCATTCCTTAATATATATATATATATATATATAGAGGGAGAGAGAGAGAGTTATTTTTAAATAATTTAATTGACAAGAAAGCTACAAATATTTATAATCATTTAAAATTAATAATTAAAAATATAATGAATATAGATTAAATTTTATTTAAATGAATATTTTAATATAAATAATAAGATTTAAATATCGCCATACTAATAACTTCCTACGACTGTGTGACCAGGGTTGTCAAAATGGTTCTTTGTTCGTGAATAGCTCGTGTTCGGCTCGATAAGCAAACGAGCTAAACACGTACCATTTTTTTGAGCTCAATATATAAACTAGCCAAACATAAAAAAAAATATTTTTTTTAATGAGCCAAACACGAGCCGAGTCTGGGCTCGCTCAAGCCGGACTCGTTTACACCCCTAATAGTTGTGTGATTAGGGTTGTCAAAACGATTTTTTGTTCGCGAATAGTTCGTGTTCGACTTGTTAAGCAGATTAGCTGAAAACGAACAATTTTTTTGTGTTCGAAATATAAATGAGTCGAACAAGAACGGTGTTATTTTTAACGAGCCGAATGTTGTGGTTTATATAATAATAGAAGGACGATCGGCGAAGAAAGCAAAAAATAGAACGAACGAGAAAATTCATCGAGAAAATTCATACCAAAAAATAGTAACACAGCGGAACACACAGATTTACATAGTTCGACAAATTGCCTATATTTACGGAGTTACAGGTGATTATACTACTTGAGGAATTTACATACTTACAAGAGAAATAAACTTAATTTCTCTTCTGCCACAAGCCACCAAGAAAAAACCAAGGGAGAACAATCTTCTTCTTCTTCTTTCTTCTTCCTTCTGCCGCAAGGAACTATTGCTCGCACTTCTCTTCCTCTGTCTTGAGGAAGCTCGAAGAAGAGCACAAAAAGATCGTGCTAAGTCTGAATGGGAGCCGCTGAGGAAGAGCCTGCCGAAGCTACAGCCTGCTGTGCTACAATCGAGACCAAAAAACTCCACCTGCTGCATTCCGTGAGCCAAACGCAGAAGAAGAAACCTGGAGAGCGGTGCCTTGTGATTCCTCCTCTTGTTCGAACCACACCCAAATCGTCTGCCAGTTCGCGACAGAAATAGAGGCAAAGCATCGCTTCGCTTCGCAGGCGGCTGAGGGAGGAAGGTGGGAATAAAGAGCAGGAACAAGTAATCCTTATTTTTGTTTTTAAACGGGCTCCACACTAACACCGAACACGAGCTGAGCCTGGGCTCGCTTGTGTTTGGCTCATTTACACTTGGATCATACTGGATCTTGACTTGATAGAGTTATGAATGCTTGTCAATTGTCACCTACAATGTACTTTTTCATGCTTTGTCTTCCCCTTCGTTAGTCTCCCCTTATTTAATTTCCTTGTGACCTTTTGTTTTGTCTACTTATTATTTTCAACTGTTTACTCTGCTACCTCCTGAACTTTTCCACTTATTCATTACCCACCTGTGTATGTGGAGGAAGAATATGCTAACACAAAGGTGTTACAATCGCTAACTTATAACTAATAATGTGCCGAATGGAGTTTAAGATAAAATGAAGCATAGTTTAATCATAGTGCCACCACTCAAAAAAGTTCTTCATCCCGAGATTATGAAAAGCATTTTCCTCCCCCACCATCATTAAAATCCTTAACGAGCCCCTGGATTTATACGTTTTTTTGGGAATATTACATACACAGGACTAGAACTTCATTGTGAACGAATACTTTTTACGAAGCTCCTATTAGACTCCAATGGATCGGTGATGACTAGGAAATACTCATCGTCATCAATAGGCCTTACTGTGTCAAATCCAATGCCAGCTCCAGCTCTTAGATTTATTATGTTTATTATTCCAAAGATTTTCAAGGTTATTTGATTCGTTTTAGACCAAAAATATAGTATTAAACCATGTTTAGCAAGATTACGAACACAAGGCAAATACCAATAAAAAAGAAGTACATACATAATCAAGTGTTTCCTCATCCTCCTAATCTGATGGGCATTTTTCACTTCAGACTGGATCTGGCTTCATAAAGACGGAAGAACAGAGAAGCAGCAATCTGAACCTGAAACCGGTCTCTGCATACAGCTCTCCCTCATCTCGCAAGTGTAATCCTGCTACCAACGATTGGATGCCTGCTGCTGAAACAGTGCGTGACATAATTGACAATATTCTAACAGAAATATTTAAGCACAGCCAAGTTCCTTTTTTTTCCATGATTATAAGCATTCTGTTTTCATTTCAGGTGATTCCAATTTCTCACAAGCCTAACAGGAGTGACAGTTAGTCAATCGATCTCCATTTTGGGCAATGTGCTGCTCCAACTCATTTTATTCAAATGGCAAACTCTCCTCACAGTTTAAGCTAAGTAAATGATCTTATTATTTATATATAGGCTGCGTGCGCTCTGTTTTCTTCGTATCTCTAGTCGTATGGTTTAATTTAGGGAGCTTGGTACAGGTGGGTGGCTTGAATATTTTATGAGTACATGGATGGCTGCTTGAGAAAAATGTTTTCCTGTTTGGAGAATTGAACCGTTTTGGCAAACTGGCTTTTTAGTGCTTGGAAAATTAATAAGGGACCTCTTAATTAGATTTGTCTTGTTAGGATCATACAAACATGCTTTTATATGTGATTTAGCATTTTTTTTTTTTTAGCATGAAGCATGAATATTAAGGTGATCCTAAAGGTATGAAATAAAGCTGATTTTAATTTGATTGAACTGGTTTTCTGTTATGAGAAGCTCCAAATGATAAGGACACTTAGGGTGGTATGGTGCCGCACCGCCATTGTCTAGCACTTTGTGTTGTTTGACAAAATTGTGTTATGTTTGTTTGTTTTTTTTAAATTATAATGGGGAGTTGCATTTTGCAACCTGAATTGGTAAACCCTAAAGGTATTTGTTAAAAAGTTACGGTTTTACTTTTTGAAAAATAAAATAAATTTGTGATGACCACCGTAATTTTTTTAAGAATAAATTTTTTTTACAGCAACTTCACAATTTTTTTTTTCTTCAAATAGTTGCAATTATCTCACTTTGAATCATCTGATAGTATCTGAAATGAGTGGTCGTCAAGGCGGCGGCATTTGGTTGTTTGGGGTGAGTACTTTTTATAAAAAGAAAGATTGGGGTGGTATAATGTAATAGTTAAAAGTTTAAGTATTAGGTATGTAAATGCAGCCATAAGAATTGGGTGGTATGTATGTAAATGTCCCTTTTTGGGAAAAAAGGGGCCATTTATATTCTTACCTCCCAATTCCTATGTATTTATATGTCTAATAAAATTTTTTATGTCTAATAAATTTCTACATGAACCTACTTCCCAAGTCCATTGAGGGTATGCTGCATTATAGAAGCCACGAAAATGTCGCTGCAGTAGAAGACCCCATGTGTATTTCGAACAGATTTATTTTAAAAGGTCTCCAACATATTTTTGTTTGATTATAATTTTTCTTAAAATTTCTATAATTTATTTTATAAAGAGAATAATCTCTTTATAATCAAATTTACTAAATCATGATGGTCCATAGCTGTGAAATTAATGCAATTTACAGGAGAGAGAGAGAGAGAGAAAGAGAGCTTATAAAATTCTTTTGTTATACAGAAAATATTACACTCTTCGTCCGAATGTCCAAACGACAGCGTGAATCGCACCACGCCATGTACACAGCTGTATGGTGTGATCCACGCCGTTGTCCAAGTGCAATATTTTCTCCTTATTATGAGGTCGGTGGACAACCTATATCGTAAGTCAGAGCCTGATCTAGCAATGGCGAGGACTCAAACCATGAAGATGGAACCATCAAGGCTTTTCATGATGGAAGAGGGGGTTTAGGATACATTAATAATAATAATAATAATAATAATAACATATTCATATGACTCCATACCAAAAGAATCATATGAATATGGTATGGAGGTCAGCAAATCTCCACAGAACCCTGCATCACCAAGTGGAAGAGAAGAACAACCAATTTAGGATAAATCACAACGAAAGCTTCTTCTCTTATTCATTCTTCTTAATATCTATACATACATGAGCAATTCAAATGATAACGTCATGCTAAAAAGTACATTGAAAAAAAATGCAATTGAATAAAATGAAAGGAAGGTCACATATCACAATAATTTATAACAAAACAAATACGTGAAGCGCTGTAATTCTCCTTCATGCATTCCATAAAAATTGAATAATTTTGATGAATACTCTTAATCTTTGATCATTAGTCTTAAAATATTTGATGCATGATTGCATGATCAGGATGATTACACCTTCAATGAAGGCTTCTTCGTATGATCTTTAAATCTTAGCTCCTCATAGGTTCACCTCTAGGAGGTAGAGAGGATTGTTAAAGGAATATATTAAGTAATGTTCAAGAGAAAAAAATATATTATGTGAACATTTCAAATTCCTAACTTTTGAATGAAGTTTAAGTGTGATCTTAAAAGGCCATCTGAAATCCAATTAGGCTAATCTTATACCAAACATGTATATTAACCTGATAAGGAGGAGTTTATTCTTTAGTGTATAAGTTAGTTTGTGATTACTTCAAGTATGGTATTATTATAATTACCTGATCTCTGGGAAAGTTATCTCCATGAACTAGCATGAGGCATGAATTGCTTGTTCTGATAACCTTTTGATCTATTTTTTGGAAACTTTAATTTTTAGTAGCTTTCTAACATTCATTATTTTGTCTACAATTAACACAACTAGAATTCTACTTGTACTGATTAAATTACAATTATTCTTTTGATCTTGTCTGGCTTAAATCATACTGATTTCGTCAAATTTTTTCAATAATGACATCATCATTTCAATTATTATTCTCGTGTTTATTATTTTATATTTAAAGAAGGTTATTGGCATATTCAGTGATTAGTGATAAAAGAATCCTAAGTTCTTTCGACATGATTTACACATATCACTTCATTTGGTGAATACATGCATCAATTTCATGATTACAAAAAAAAGAAAAATATGACATATTATGCACTATTCAAAAGTCCTCTAGCTATGGATCTATTTGGGGCAGCTGTAGCTTATTAAAAGCAAATGTGAAGCTGCTAAAAAATAATCTGATGTTCAAAAAGCTACGGTGACTATTACATTTTTTTTTTTTTCTTTGAAAAAATCAGACCGCAACTAAGAAGCTGCCACCAAACCTAAACCAAGACTGGTGGGAAAACACGATTTCAACGACAGCTTTTAAAAAAGCTGCCAAAACGCAGTTTACCCAAACAAACAAAATTATGGTGCGATGCCACACCGCTACCCCAAATGGACCCTAACATCAATAGTCTTAAGTGAAAAACCGGGATAAACTAAATTATAATTCACCCAAAATATTTTTATGCATAGTTTTAGATATTTAAAAATATTAAAAACTACCATCCCATAAGAATTGTTGCACTGACGCTTATTCCTACTGATAATTCAATAACCACTCATCTTAAGGCCATTATAGGTAAACTAACACATGAATCATGTATTGTTGAATTTGAATCAGCTGAAAATATGGAAATTCATGTAAGCATGTATACTAAATATTTTGAATTTGTATATACATCGAACCACATTCATGAATTTAAATCTACACTTAATAATGAGTTAAAAGTAGAATATAAAACTGAAAATGAGCATATGCTTGTATATGAATACGACTTCCAATCAGGCTGGGTGTATTTTTACCAGTAAAGATGGATCAATCATGGTTAATCTAGTTTATGAGTCAACAAAGCAATTTGAAAATATTTCTTTCGAGAAATTACATGTTGACACTATTCCCATGATGAATGACCAACTTGAAGTTGGGTTTATTTTTATTTTTTTGGTTTCTAGTTATACCAATTCATAGAAAATTTATCTTAAGATTCTTTTTTTTAACCGTTCTTCCATATGGACATATGATAATCATGTATTTTGTTGATTGTAATCCTAATAACATTTTATCTTTAAGAAATTAATTATAGATCATTATTAGGTTTCCATATGATATAATGGTTTTGTAGCATTTTATTACTGGAATCATATCATATCATGTTCATAATTTGCATAATTTACATGATGTGCCTAAAGGGTATTTGCAAAACACAAGCTTTTAATTATGATAATTATAAACTTCATGTTGACATGAACAAGAGTTATAAGGTTCTCAATCATGATAAATTTAAAGTTACAATTCCATAAAGAACAATTAAGAAATTAAACATGGTTAATATAAAAGTTGTTTAAACTCTGCAAAGTATTGCAAATTTAAATTTCTAGAAACATTTGGTATAAATTCAAATTTCTATTGCATAATTTGACTTTATTTCATAAGCCTACTATAAATTCCATGGACTCTTCTCTATTTTCACATCTACCTCGTAAATCGACATCCAATCCTCTAATAAACACTTCTACACAAATTGTTTTTGAAGCTATCCTGAATTATGAGATTGATGGATTCCAAATATATCATTTGCATTGCCATGACGAACTGATTCAGGATAATTTTCCCATATTTACGGTGCCATATAATTTCCCTTCTAGATCCTACAAAGTTTTTATCATCAAATGATCCATTGTTTACAATCCATTAAGATAGAAGTTTACATCTCAATTCACGGGCAAATTTATTTTCTACACTAAACTGTTATGCTATCCAATCCCTTAGCATGAATCAAATAATCAGCCAGAGATCAAACAATGCAGCAATTAAAAACAAGAATTTGAAGAAACTGCATGCCATCCAATTCATCGGGATCCTTGTACATTATTATGACACATGGGTAGAAGCAGATGAAAGACCAGTAAAAGAAATCAGTGCAATATAAACATGTTTAATTACAAAGAGACAGAAATAAAAATCCCGAATGTCAGTATCTTACTGTACAAAGACAGCATAAACCTAGAATTAGAATAAAAACAGCCATAAGCAACAACAAATCATTAAAAAACTAGCAACTTGTATGGACGAATTGAGATCAGAAAACCTGGAGGACGGGGCGCTTTCCCAGTCGCTTGATCTCCCTGTCCATGTTCCCGGTGAGCATGAGGCCGAACATCCTGAAATCACAGATCAGAGACCAGAAAGGGTAGCCGAAGGTTGCCGGTGGGTTACCCTCGACAAAGAAGTGGCTGTACCACGCCATCCCGTAAGCTAGCAGCGGCGCAGCTAAGATCAGAGCCCACCACCCCAACACGGCGGCGCAAAGGAAGCAGAGGAGGGCGGACAGCGTGCCCATGAAGTGCCACCGACGTGTTAACGGCTTTGAGTGCTGGCTCACGTAGAACGCCCAGAACTCCTCCAAATTCCTATAACTCATACCTTTTTTATAGAAATCCGAAGCCGCAATCCCTAATTCGATGACGAAGAGCTCAGAACCCTAGATAAAAAAATAAAATTTCGATTGAAATGGTGAGGAGCAGGTGGGACGAGAGAGTTCGATATAACTCCAGGGCACTGTTTTCGTTCCGCGAGTAAGATCGGATCACTGTGAAGATCAGTCCTTTGGTCCCCCATTGATCAATTATTATTTCACAACTTTAAATGAATTTAATAATGTGTCTGAAATAAAATTTATTTATATCATTTCTCATCAGAAATGTTTTAATATGTAAATACAGAACAAATGGGCTGTGTCTATAAAAATGACCAAATAAGCGTGGTTTATTATTATTATTATTATCATTAGACAGAGCTACATACTAGTTTTTCAATTTAGGCCCATTAGCCCACCTAATCCAGTCAATGGGGATCATGGTCACATTAAAACAATATATCGATTGACATTGTAACAATAACTAGTGGATAGTCTCTCAAGACTCTATAATTGTGTTAATTAAATAGGAATTATTATTCAAACATTCATAATTTGATATTGTGATAAAAAATTCACATTTTTCTCTATAAAAGTGCATGTAGCGTAATGGTGTGCCTGTGATGTACAGATGTTCTCACAACTTATGTAGCTCTCAAATTTAACCTTAGCGCCCTACAGATGTTATTACAACTTACCACCATGAAATATGTGGTCGATTATGATCTACATGGTTCATAACTCATACAGCTCCCAACTTCGGCCTCTACAACCTGCCAACGCTAGTTCAGCTCACCATCACTACCCATGTGAACAAATATGGTCCACGCGACTCACAACTTCTGCAACTCCCAAATCTGGCCCATGTGGCTTACAAATGATACTTAGCTCCCCATCATGACATATGCGAGCAACTATGACCTACGTGGCTCATATCTCATGCAACTCTTGGCTCTGGCCTTTGAGGACTATGAATGCTATTGAAGCTCCCTACTACAATCATCGTGTCCAGCTTACGCTCCTGAAGCAATCATTTACGGCCTACATGACCAACTACCATGACTTTAAACTACAACATCTACGATAAGGTGTCACTATAACCATTGTTTACAATATTCACAGTGAACTGCTGCATTCATAACAATTGATTACGGCCTTCGTGACTTGTTATGACTAATTTTCTTGAAATATTGTTGTACAATACCTTTGTAATTCTATATTTCCTAACTCAAAAGAAGAGTGAGTATGTGTACTCCCATTAGACAGTGAATTGCCTCAACTAAGATAAATTTCTAATTTTTCCCCTTTCTAGAGGTTTCCATGTAAGTAGTCGAGGTATCTTATCACACCACTCTTATTTTATCAGTGTGTAACACTGAAATGTTGATTTATTATTCAACAACTACAGATCATTGACACGCATTAATAATGTATTGTTTATTGGATACCCACAAAAATTATCATTCACATTTATGCATATTGACATTTTATTTTTAATTTTAGAGAAATAATGGTGGACAGTGAACTCCGTGGGATAATAGTTCATTGATGTAGGAAATTACTTCACCTCTCAATGAAAGTTGGGAAGGTGGTGGAAAGATGGTTCTAAAGGTTGTACTTATAATGAGCGTTGTCTAGAAAAATATGATTAAACTAGGGACCTTCCCTATAGTTAGATTAGTCAAAATTGCATACATTTTTTGGTATTTGAAAAACTATATCCTTTATTGTTTGTAGTTATTATAGATTAAATGAGATAATAGAGAGTTAATCTACAACTTATGGTGGAATTTTTTTCACCTTAGAAGGGTGTAGTGTTAGAGCATTTTGAAGTAGCTCAATGAGCCATTTTGGTATGGGTACCCACAGTTGGAGAAAAATGTTAAATAGTTGGGCTTACTTGGAGTAAGCTATGTTGGGTTAAAAGGCCAGTCATAAAAGACCAGTTCGAGGGGATACGATAAGATCTGATTTCCTGTAATAGTAGTTCATATTGAGAAGTAAGCTTAGATGCACATTTAGTAGTCATTTTATATTGCAAGGAATGTTTTGAATTCTTAAGAGAGAGTTATTGGGTGAGCACACAAGTGTTTTATGGATACAAAGATTGAGTTATATGGATATTTGTCCTGAGGAGAGGAGTTATGACTATTGGCTATGAAGTGGCTTCCGAATCACATGCACACAATTTTGAAATCTAGAGAAAAAAGTTAGAGGGTTATTAGGAATGTCGTAATTATAGAGAAGATTTTTTCTCATAAGAAAGTGAAAAAAATTCTTCAAGTCAGAATGAGAATCACAACTTATATTTTGATGAGTTGGCTACATCACGTATGTGCATCAACATTTAATTCAACTGATTTGTATCTTAGGTTGGTTATAACTAATAATTTTACATTAACTCAACCATCCACTCATCAAATGGGAAATTGGTGTTTATAATTCTAATAAAGTATCTCCACATGATAATTCACATTTTAGTACATCCTTAACTTGTCATGCATTGCTCAATATTAATTCTATTTTGTATCACACATTAATTATTTTAAAATAGTTTTTTATGACTAAAAATATTAACATTTTATTTAATAAAAATAATTAAAATTCTAAATTTGGGAATTCAAAATGTAAATATTAAAGAAATGTTTAATGTTGTTGTAAAAGTAACCGAGTGACCTCCTTCTCTATTCAAGCGATACATGGCCCAAAGGCCTGGAAGTTGTGGGCCGTACCCAAGTCTGCTGAGAAGAAAATACGTGTACGTTTAACAAAATTGAAATGACCTTTGGAGTCCGCCACTCTGGAACCGTCTTCACAGCGCCTGTATACATTCAACCACAAAATCTCAGCGGTTATTTGTGGCCGCACGCTGCTGGCAGGAGAGAAGAAGCTAGCGAGGCAAAGGGAGGAAGCCAACGAGATCGAGACGTCTTCTAAGAATTAGGGATTAATTCGAACGGATCAGGGTAATTATCTAAATTTTGATCTCAGGCTTCCTTTCCTTCTTAACTGATTGAAAATTGTGACTAGGTTTGTTTTGCCGATCATCCCTGTTTTTGTATACCTCCGTCTACCCTAGTTATAGATAGATCTCGTTTGATTCTTTTGTTTTTCTTGGAAACCTGTATGTTAAGTTGATTTTATGTTGCGGGAAGAGGCTGGGAAAAGTTAGTGCTTATTGATCTTTCAGACCTTTTTTTTTTTATCACTTGTAGAAACACTGTGCTTGATGACTGGTCTTCTTCTTCTATATTTTTTATCGAGAAAGATACAGCTCTGATTAATAATGCTACTTCTTCAATAGCTACTTGTTGATATTTAGCGAAAAGATTAGTAACCTCCGACAAGAAAATGCGTTGAGTAACTTTAATTTTGAGCGACTTAATGTTTTATCCGATGGTAAAATATTTTTTCAAATTCGGGCAAGGTTAGTTGTTAATGTGGAAAGGATTTCAGTCGAGCTCGGCACATTTTTATATTTTCTCTGATTTACCATACACAATTTTCTCAATACAATTTTGTCAATATTCTTTAAGTAGTCTAGTCATTTCGTTGGGCAAGAAGGATCAGGAGTATTAGCATAATTCCTAAATGTTTTTGATACTTTTTGGCATCATTACACACGAGGCCAACATTTGGTTTACCATTTTGAAAGAAAACCTTATTGGACTTGCTATAGTTAGTCTCCACCTGTCGACTTACCTGCTCCGTTAATATGAATGCCATTTTAAACATATTTGGTTGGACCAGGAAAACCGTCTTCCAAAAGAAATTTATGGCAATATGATTGCAGTAAAAATCAGGTTAATTCTATATTTTTTAACGGCTTGCTTTGTGTGCTATTCTCATTTTTAATAGGATTTATATCATTTAGTTTTGAAACTCCTTGTCATTGGTTTCATTCTATAACTCTATTTTAATTCACTTGGCTCACAAAAATATTTCTTATCGTTAAAAAGCAAAGTTTCTGAATCTAGGTAAACTGCAAAATTGGTCCAGTGATAAACCAAGAAGAGAACAATTGTTCTATTAAATATAGGATGATTTTTAAGATAACAATATAATAGCTGTGTAGTAAGGTACTTTATGTTGACTTTTAAGGTAATTATCTAAACAATATGCTCTTGTACTTATGTAATTTAATCAACATTTTATTATTATAACTCAAAACCTTCATACGATTGAGGAGGGTTGAAATTCCAACCACTAATGATATATAGAAAACAAACCAATTAAGCAGCAAGTGGTGCAATTTTATGAACAAGTGAAGGAATAAAAGCCTTATGCCATCGTAACATTTAGTGAAAAGATAAAAGAAGGTTGCAAAATATATTATCTGTTAATTACTAAACTTTGAAGTATATGCATAATTCAAATACATGACAATTAACAGCACAGTAATATTGAAGCCATTATAATATCATAATAATAATGGCAAGGCAATCTTTTGTTGAACCTAAGAAATATGAATATTTTACTAGAAAAAGCAAGCAACCGGAACATTGTCACTAAAAATTCTTGATTTAAAAAAAATAATATGTATGCAAATTTCTCAAAAATAAAATGTCTTATCATTAACATATTAATAGACATTTCTAAAACTAACCCAATAATTTGAGCTCAAGCTCAGCAACAACAGCAAGTGAATTTTAAAGTGGCAAATCAAATGATATCCATTTGAAACTTCTATTTGTAAAAGATTAAAGTAACTTAGATATGATCTACCCATATTAGATTGCTAGCACATATTATGGAAAAAAGTTTATTCTATAAAATGATCAAAATTTTTCCCAAATATTTTGTATCTATGCATGAGAAATAAAAAAGAAAAAAGAAGCATGCAATTCATCAGGGAACTAACAATTACGTAAGAGTAGAACTTCACTGATATTGTTTAAAAAATCCAAATAAATATTTACATACCACTTTTTCATAACTCTCGACAGCGATGAAGAAGAATCTCACTATCAATGGGCTCGTCGAACGCTCAAAGTAGAAGCTACGCTTAGGTAGACGCTTGAAGTAGATATTGTGCTCGGAACAAAGCTTGGAAAGGAAATCGAGCATAAATGGAGATCTTGCCGACACTCAAAACAAGGAAACTCGTCTATGCATCGAAGTAGACGTTGTGCTTAGGACAATGTTGGAAAGTGAAACCTATGACGATGTTGGAAAATGAAACCTGAAACTTATTCTTGATCACAGTCGTTTGTAAGTTAATTTAAGTAAACTTTAAAAATTGTGGTGTGCCTTAAACTCCTCTAGGTGTATGCATTTGTTAAAAAAGGTGTAGGCCTCACCTAAAGAAGTGAAGTTTCCGTCTTTAGACAATTTTTTAGCGCTTCATATCAAGGTGCTCCATGAGGTTAACACCCTGAACGGTTTTTTAATTGTTTTTAGAAATGTAAAGTCTTAAATTAGAACACCACAAGATGTAATTTAATTACTGAAATGTTTTATGAGAACCTTATTTATGAATAGATTTTTAAGACAACAAATCTTTATATAACATTGTCAAAAATATGCACAACTTGAAGTCAGTGAGGTTGTTGTTTGAAAAATAAATATAACATAAAAGGCAATCTAAATATAACCATGGAGAAAGGAGATATTTCACATGAATTAGACATTTTAAGTGCAACATCCAAATCTCGAGAAACTTATTTTAGGGGATGAAAGTCCCTTCTAAATGGCGCCTATGATATAAACCTTTATCTCATTAAGTGGGGTTGGCTATATAAATTATTTTCTCCATTGTGTCCTATTAAATGTCATATTTTTATTTGATTCCTATAAAATAAGATCATTTTTATATGACATGCCCAAGCCTTTTTAAGTCTACCTCTATCTTCTTAAAGTAAGTCAAATCTAATACATCTACTATCCTAATAGGTTCATTAGACGGTCAACGTATAATATGACCAAACCATATAAGACAGACTTTATTTAATCTTGTTAGCCACTAGAGCAACTCGAACATTTTAATGGATATATTTGTTTTGCATTTTATCTTTAAGTTTCTATCCACTCATCCACCTAAGCATTGTCATCTAAGAAACACTTAATTTTATGCTTCTCTTTTATAGGCTAACATATTGTGCCATTAAACATTGGGGTTATCACCATCATATTATAAAAAAATAAACCTTAAATGTCTAAGCAGTACTTTTCAATCACACAATAGGCTCGATGCATTCCTCCTCTTCAACATGTCAACTTGAAATATACTAATAACATCCCATCTATATCTCCATCATTTTGAACAATACACATGAGATATATTTTCACTCTTTTTAATGATTTGATTATCCATTGTTACAACCTCATCAATAGATCTACTACTATTAAAACTACAGTCCATGTATTCAATTCTAGATCCACTTAAACAAAGGTCTTTAGATTTTAAATTGAATTTTTCTTGAGCTCTCTCTAGTTTTATCCATCTTTAGTGAAAAACATACACCAAATACATCCTCCTGGAAATGTCCAAAATATAAATAACTAAAACAAAAATATAGGAGCTTAAAGTCGATTTTGGATGTAATCTAGCTGAAGTAGGATAATACTTTGTCAATCCTTCTTGTGTTCGAATACAAGTAACAACTCTAATATACATATTTTTAATGACTTGAATATAAACAATATAATTTTTTTTTCCTTAGAATTCTTCAAAGTACTCAAGAAATTTTATCATACTTTTTTAAACGAACAAAAATTATGTCTCTTTACTCATCCATCAAACCTTTCAATAAATGTATAACTTTTATGAATCCAAATTAATTTTGAAAAATTTTTGTTTCACGTAGTAACAAATAAAATTTTTCTTCATCCATCAAAAACTTTTTTAGTTTTAAAATAGTATTACAAATTTATCAAGTCACAAAATTTTTATATTTCTTAAAGATTTATATACTTCTATTACAAAACATAATATCCTATTATTTTTTCTCACTTATTTTCAATAAAGTATAGTTAAATAATATTTTTTTAATGTGATGGTTGAAATAAAAATGTTTATTATTTATGATATTAAGATCACTAAAGGAGATCATATTTTTGCTTTTTTTTTTTTAATTTATCAAATATCTCATTGTTATATTGAATATCCTTGTCTAAAAAATACTCATTTTTTTCCATTTAATACTAATTTTTTCAAGAACATCCAAAATTTTAAGATTTTTAAGTCGCTTATAAAAATAATTTTATTTGTCTTTTAATAACTGTTCTCAAATAATATTATGATGATATTTTGTTGTACTTTTTATCTTTTTGTCTATGCTAAAATTTGAAATTAATAATCGATGTTAGCTACTCAATTTTTTTTGGAATGATCTTACAATCTCAATGATATATTATTTTTCATAAGAAAATAATCCATTCTTATTTTATTAAATTTATTCTTATAAGTGATAATATAACATATATTTTTTAAAATAAAATATGAGGAATAACAAAATAATAAACTAAAACAAAATTTAATACGACCACTTTCTTCATTATTCATTCGAAAATTATAGACATCATGAATATTTTTAAATTATTTTTATCACTTTAACATTTTTTCTATTTAAGTTTTCTTCAATAAAATTATTTTTATGCAAGAGAGATACTTTGTAAATTTTTTTTTTTTGGTTATTCTTTTTTTTTTGTTGAACATATATCCAGACATATTTGAAGAGTAATATGTATAACGTTAAAAATTTCAGTATCAATAACAATATTTAGAGCTATGAATCTATCTTTAATTTTATTAATTATAATGTGAGAATTCTTACTTATTTAATACTATACCCTAACTTCGCTCTGCTGCATTTTTTTCATCGTGTTTAGGCCATTCAACGTTTTGCTTTAGGGGATGTCTTATATTTGACACAATGATATAGAAGATCCATCTCATTATTTTTTGACAATTTTTAAGCTGGTTGTTGGCTATCTAACATAATAATCCTTTTTTCGCATCCAGGATTTGGGGGCCACTAAGAACCATGTTAAATGATGCCTATGATATTAAGCATTAATGAATTTCGCTAATCTGCTTCGGTTAAGATTTGAATAATTTTTCTCAGTTTAAGCATTTGATATTGAAGAGATTGCATTGCTTGGCTCATGCATATTTTTTATTTGATTGTTGATTGATAAAAGATTCTTTTAATAGCAATATTTGTGTATGAAAATTAGATGCCAATCATATGCTTTATATAAGAAGTTGTTGAGTACTTCGGTTGGCAATTTTTTACCTTCTCCATGGTAAATAGCCTTTTTCTATTCATTTTGTTCTTCGTTAAGATAGCAGGTGATGGTTTGTGTCTCTATTCTTTGTACATTAACAGCCTTAATCTACAAGGCATTGATGAATCTGTGTTCAGCAATATCTTCTTAAACTTGCATTTGCCTTGCGCTTGGCATGCTTTTACCTTTTTAATTCTATTTTGGATGAGTTTATGTTATTGTAATTTTTACTAATTCTTATCTTATATTTTGTTAAAGTTGATAAAATCATCTTTTGAGTGAGCATACTTAAATGGTGTAATGTTGAAGGGTTGCTTTTGTAGATGCTTGTGTGGATTTAAGTGACTAGTTTGTTATTGTGAGTGCTTGTTCTATCCTTTGTGCTAGTTCTTTGTTACTAACTATGCACTGCTGGACATTTGATGATTCTTTAATCACCTCAAGTGTTGTAGGGTGCGTTTAGGGCGGCGGTGTGGTGCTGCAACGCAGTTTTGAAAAACTATATGTTACCTGTGCTCTAAAAAAAAATTGCAGCTGAAAGTTATGTTTTCCCATTAGACCTAACTAACTGCGGTAGCTGCCAGAAAATTGAGGTATGACTTAAAAAAAAAAAAATAATAACCACTGAATTTTTTTAATAACAGTTTTTTTTTTTTTCCCAGTAGCTTTACAATATTTTTTTCAAACAATTGCAGCTGCCCCTTAAACAGACTATTAGTTATTGTGCTTAATTCTTATAACCATGTAGCTGATTAAGCTTTATACTAGCTCTTAGCTAGCTCTATCTATCACACCAGCTATACCAAATCACCTATTATTGAGTGTGGGATGTAATCTTCTGGACCGTCAGAGTGCACTACGATTATTCAAAAGTTGCTTTTTTATGTTATTTTATTTATTAATTTTTTATCTTAAATAGTTATGTTTACTTTTTTAATTTTCAGATGCTAAAAGGTTTTTCTGTAGTTATTTTTACTTGGTTGGCCAGTTTTCTTATAAGTTGGTTTTTCTTTTTATTTTTTATTTTTTATTGTAACTATGTTCTTAATTTTTAACAATCAAACTGACAGTTCATTCTGCTGTCCACAGATGTCCCATACGAGGCGTTCAAGGTTAGCTAATTGACAATTATATATCTCAAGGATTGAATAATTTTATAAATTTATAATGGAATGTAATTATATATAAATTTCATGTTTTTAGGTATTCATCTCGCTCTCGATCACCATATCATCGCAGTAGATACAGCAGATCTCTTTCACGTTCACCATCAAGGTCAAGGAGCCGGTCAAGGTACTAGTTGAGTGCTATTTTATAGGTGTTTCTTTTTTTCTTTTGCTTAAAATTCCGGACATGTGTTTTAAGTATTTTATTCCAAGGAATGAAAAATATGGACTAGTAAATAGAGTTCAAATGTAAAAATTTTATTTTATTAAATATATTAAAGAGATTAAATATCTTAAAGAGATGTCAAAGGCATGCACATGAATATTTTGAAAAATATACGGGATTCTCGTACAGAAAATGCATGTATTTTAGTTTTCAATGCTAAAATACTAGTTATATACGGATAAGTATTTTTGAATAATCTGCACAACAATTAACTAACAGGGCTTAGTTGTTCTGTTTAAATTTTCTTGATTTTCTTAGTTAAGATTGTTTGGTTTATGAACTCTCATAGGAGCTGTTACTATTCGGATGCGGTGAATCCGGGTAACAACTTGTACGTGACTGGATTATCTGCTCATGTATCTAAGGCCGAGCTTGAGGATCATTTTGCCAAGGAAGGAAAGGTATGGTTTAATTACGTGAAACTTTTTGTAGTTAACCAAGGACCCAACAGTTCAGTGTATATTGATCAGGAAGAGATTCACATTGATTCATATATAATTTACCTGCATTATTTGAGCAGGTGGTTGATATTCATCTTGTGGTTGACCCATACACAAGGGAATCTCGTGGTTTTGGTTTTGTGACGATGGCTAGAATTGAGGACGCGGAAAGATGCATCAAATATCTCGATGGATCCATACTGGATGGCCGGGTCATTACTGTGGAGAAGGTAGGGTATTTGATTTTTTGTTTTTTAATTACGCAGCGGTTAGTTCTCACTCTTATCTTCCGGTAGAATTTTGTTTTTGTATTTTTTGAGCTTTTTTCCTACTAAGAATAAAGACTATGTCATGTTCTTCGCCTCTAGTTTTGTTGCCAACAGGGTGGATTGTAGGTAGCAGGTCTCCATCGAATTTCACAAGATTTACCACATCCTAACAAATCAAATCATCTCAAGCAATCATCAATCAACCAGAGGGTTGTATGCCCTGCATTATTTTTTTGTTGCACAATTTACACTTCATTTATACGACAAAACATATGCAGGACTTTCTATCTTTTGTTTACATGCTTTTCTGCAGTGGTTGATGTTGTTAACTTATCCTAACATTTCCATACAGGCGAAGAGGGGGCGTGGGCGTACCCCTACTCCTGGTAGATATCTTGGTCTGAGAAAAGTCCGTGGTAAGACGTTATCTTTTATCCGCAGCTAATCTTTCTCCTTCCTTGCTGCTTTCTCCCATCTAATTGCATCCATTATTTGTTGAAGCACGCCGCCGATCTCCCAGCAATTGAGCTCCTCAGATAGGGAAAGGTCATGCTCTCCCTACTACCACCGCAGGAGGTCTCCGTCTCCTTACAGGCGATCACCCATCAGAAGGCGCAGATATCACTCCTCTCAGGATTCCAGATCTCCTTCCCGATCCATGTCTCCATATTACAGTTCACGCAGCCCATCTCCAAGGGCCAGGAGGTCAAGGAGGAGGAGCTATTCGAGAAGCATTTCTCCAGCCTACCAGAAAAGCTATGGGAGAAGTTATTCGAGGAGCATCTCGCCAAGACAAAGTAGAAGCTCCAGGACTAGGAGGCAGCACTACTTGAGCAGTACTTCACCGAGGAGGTACCGGAGGAGCCCTTCACATGGAGCCATTTCTGCTAGTAAGAAGGGAAACTCCCGTGAAAGTTATTCCCACAGTAGGAGTGCAAGCTTTCATTCTAGATCTGTTTCTAGCTCCTCGGTTAGGTCTGATTGATCTGAGCATATTATTAATTGTGTAGCTTTGGCTTAGAACGTATTTGAATACTTTAGGTATCGTTCACTATTTGTTTAGATTAGATTTGTTGGTGGTTAAACTTACTAGAGCTGGATATTAAGTCGTTGATTTGTATGTTCTGTTCAGTAGATTTATATCTTCGAGACTGTTGGCCCTGGTCGGCTTGCATATTTTCATCCAGTTTATTTTATTTCATTCCCGTTTAAGTAGATAGTTATTAAATTTTGATGAATGTTCATGATGTCCGATAACACTTCAGGCATGTCTATTTGGTGTATCGGATGAATGACTCCAGATAATCAGTGGAAAATAAGCCCGGGTTGATATGTGATTTAAACTGGAAGTACTTTTAATGCAGCAACATTTTAATAAATGAGCCCTTGTTCTCACTATTATGGAACATTTTAACAACCTAATCTGCTTTGTCCTCTTAAATAGTTTTCATTTCCGACGCAAGATTGCAACACAGCTTATACCCATGCATGTTTGACGAAATATAATAATCAATAAAAAAAATAGTTTTCATTTCCTATAATCTATAAGGCATTTACTTTCAAAAAGTACATTAGGTTAAATGAAGATTTAAAGAGGTTGTGATCACCTCTGGAATATGCAGTAAATACTGGATAATTTTGCTGGTAACCCTTCTGGAATGTTGGGAGTATAAATTTATTTCAATGAACTCTCAGGAAAAGAAAAATTAAAAGAGATCTAGTACAAACAGTTCATCAAAATGCCCTGTGTGATTTTACGGCACAGGGCAGGGGCTAATTCCCCATATCTCCTTAGCATATTCTGAGATCGTGCGATCGCTGCTGAATTTGCCACATCCAGCCGTACTCAGAATAGACATCTTCAGCCATCCCTTTTTGTCCCTGCAAAAATAAATAGCACGCAGCTTTTTGAATGACAAGGCCAAAATTAGAAGAAGCACATACAACTTCCTATTGGACCAAAACAAAACATGCATATTTAGATGTAGATTTTCCCAAACTAATTGAAGGTAGGGCAGAAATAGAAGTAGGCATGGAAGATCTCATAATCTTATAGCAGTCAAGGAGTTCATAGACTTCGAAACATAAAAACAAAATCATATTTATCAGCATATAAAACCAGAAGATAGCTCATGGAAATAGGAGGAGAATTTTGTTTCTTACTTGTATGCTTCATCAACTCGATCTTGTGCATCCATATAGCTTGGAAAGTCATGGCCTACGAGGAAGTAATCGCCACGTCCGTAGCCGGAGTTTCCTTCCAAGGAGTCTAGAAGGGGTTCATAGTTGTAAGCGCCAAAAGCACCACTTCTTATAAAGTGCTTCGCCTCCTCAAATCGTGGGTCTGGTTTGAACTGTTACCAGTAACAAGTGGAGCATAAATATATGATGAAATCCTATTTAAATATATGCTTGCTGATCAAAAGTGTATTTTTCAGCTCAATAAGAAGTTATATTTAGTAATTTACCAGTCCGTCTTCTCTCTCCTTGCGCAGTTTTGGCACTTCATCTGCTTTGGCACCAAAAAGAAAGAAATTATCCTCTCCAATTTCTTCTCTAATTTCAACATTTGCACCATCCAATGTGCCAATAATGAGGCAGCCATTTAGTGCAAACTTCATGTTGCTTGTCCCGCTAGCTTCCATGCCAGCCGTGCTGATGTGTTGAGATAGCTCACTACCAGGAATTAACATTTCAGCCACTGAGACGTTGTAATTCGGAACAAAGATAACCTGGATTATTTAAATAAGAAACAAAAAAAATTGAAATTGCATATAGTTTGTAGTATACTTGCTTCCTTACAAACAGAAAATATGATTTAGGAAGTGATAATTGTGTTTCTACACATTTTGAGTGTGAAAATGAAATCATCATTCTCAAGTGAGTATTGATAGGGTTTGTAGAGTTTAAACATAATATTTGTGCCCACCTATATTCAACCAAATGATGAGTAAACAAAGTGTGTCATTTGTCAAATCTTAATTTCTAAATTCAATTGTCCTTTGGCCGCTAAAACACAATACACGCTGGCATGAATGAGGTTGTGGCCTGTGGGTATACAACATACATCAAACAACTGAAAGAACTTGACAGAGAACGTAAACTCTTTTCGCTATCTTAGAATCCATTTTATAGAGACATTTTGTAGTTTATTCCTACAAATTCTCCTTCTGTAATAGTCCGTTCAACCAAAAACTGAGATAAATTAAACATGCCCAATTGAGCATGGGTTAACAATTCAATTAAACTAGAAAACCAGCCGTTAAAATTTGAACTATTTAATTATAGGTGATTAACTCTGGCCTGATTATTCTAAAGTTGAATCGACTTGAGCATTAAAATTTTCATTGAAGACAGGAATACTATCCCAAAAATTAGTCTCTTGTCATGATCACCTAAGAAATCAGGTTTACGTGCTTCTACCACATCTTTCTTTAAGATAAGAAATTTATTATCGAGTTGAGTCAACCTCCATTTGAATTGCTAAATTAAGTCCTTTAAAACAAGATTTAAAATCAAAATTAGACATTATTTTAATTGAAAATGCTCTTGGGTTTTACTCCTGAGATGTAACTAATCATTAAAAACTCATAATAAAATAAAATATATTCATTTTTTAAGAGAAATCTGTGGGAAATATTAAAAATCAACCGCCATCCATTGGATCCGTGCGGAGATTGTTTCCATCTTTCAGAGTAGTAAATTGCTTGCCCAAGTGGGAATTTTGTTTGTGGGCTCCGAAAATTAACGACCCTCCATGAATTGTCTACAATCTTTTTTTTTTTTTGTTTAGAGCTTTGGAGGGTCAAATTTTCAGAAGGCTTTTTGATTTGAGGTTCGAGGTATCCCGTAAACTCAAGCTCCTAAGATTAATCATCCCTCTCGATAACGGGAGAACACTTTCAATCAAAACAAAAGTCACTAAGAATTGAGTATTCAACATATAATAGCAATAGACTTAGGATTAAAATTATAGAATTCATCACTTGAAGCTTAAAGCGAATGGTGGGAAAACAAAGACGAAACACGATCATCATCCAATGGTTCTGTCATCCTGGGTTATCGTGGTCCCTGATCCACTTAGTCAGAGAAGGTAGTTGACTCAACCTGACAGAATGATTATCGTCGACGCAAAAAGTTCCTTATAGATTTGGAGTGGATGTTTGTCTAAGAGGACAAACTTAAGTCGATATTAACTAACAGAAAACTTTATGTCAATCAATTATACTTTTATGATTAACAACACAAAGGATAAAAAGCCTTTGGCGAATATATGGGTTGTGACTGTGACCGTAATATAGTGATGTCATTGGGCAGCAACCACGCAGTTAGAAGGCTCTGGTTGTAACTGTTATTTTGTGGTGTCATTTGACGGCAGAACCACACGAACAGAGAAATTGAACCACGTCCTTACTGACATGCAATTACATTAATTGTCAATATATTAATATGTTTGATATTACATTTGCTCTTTGTGAGCTAAAGTCAAGCAGAATTATATCATTCTCACAAACAGTTGCAGATGGTGAATGAAATTTGCTTACTTCGAAAAACTTAATTTAAAAGATTGACCTCTCCGATTGAAATGTTCGATCAACACAACCATCATCGAGGTTTTGAATATTTTAAAACTTTTACATTTGAAAGGGGGACATTTAATTTTATTAGTTTGATCTTTTCAAAATATAAGTCCTATTGACTCTTATACTTATACTTAAGATGATTAAACTAGGTGATTTGGACTTTTAAATTCCTATTTTTAGAATTTGGATATTTATTTCAAAATTATTAGATTTGTCAACCCCAGTCATTGCAAGAAGGAGGATTAGACTAGTTAGGTGAGACTTACAATCATATCCTATAGACAAGACAACCCGATTAGCCCGTACAACATTCTCAAACCTCATATTTAAATATTTAATATTTTGGTTGGAGCACATGCGGGCATTTGAAAATGTGTAAAATATTTATTTATATAGACAGCTTAAAGCTTATACAACTCGAGTATCTTAAGTGGTACTCATCGAAGTCTTAAGAATAGACTCACATTTCAAAATATCTCATTCGACTTAGAAGATGACCATGATATTTATATATTTTTTGAAACCATTTAGAGCATAAAATATTTGCAAGTGTTGTGATTTTAGGCTTTAAAAAGGGACCGTCTTCTGTTCGCTAGTAGGTGTGATGTGAATCTAGTGGCAAGATTAAAATATTGATTCTTTATTTTAGCATTTAGAAATAACATTTATATCTTAAATTTATCCCCAATTAATGATATTGTATATTTAGGTCAAGTTTACAAGTTTAGCATCTCAAATTATGACATTTTATAATTAAATCTAGGCCCAATTTATAGAATTTGACATTCAATTTAGGTTTAGCCCCCTAAGCTTACTCCAATTAAGCTAAGCCTCAATTTATGGATTTAAATATACCATATGCAGATTTATTTGTACTTGGATATTGATTTTTCATATGTTTACTTTTCAAGTATGATCGAATTTGAAGTCAAAGAAAAATCTTACTATATTAATTGGCGAGTCATTCAATTTTTTATGAATCTTATGCAAGTCTCAAGTGCATATAATTTATTCTTTTGAAATGACTTGAAATACAGTTTAAGTATTATTATATATTTTGTGATATCATTTTTAAAGTCTAAACAATCCATAGTTTTATATTATTTACAAGTCTAATATCACTATAAATTTCGACAACCTCCTAGCGTAACCCCCATTTGGGGGCATGAGAGAATGTCAACCTTCCCAACTATCTTAAGAAATAAGTTGATCAGTGTTGCGAGACCTTGCAGCTGAGAAGCAAAAATTTAAATTTAACCTGCGATTTTAAAAGACACAACATGTCTTCAATGTACCTGCACAAAATGGTTAGATCACAAACAAACATTTCTCGAATGGTACTTTATTTTCCCCGAATAATACTTAATTTCCCATGGACGAGCACTAACTTTCAAATGAATGGGTGTTTTAAAATCCTCATTTTAGAAAGTTTTCCAAGTGAGTTTGCAATTTTCCCCGAACGGTACTTAATTTCCCCACGAATGGGTACTCGTGCTTTCTCGTGTGGATGTTTTTTAAAAATTGCCCTATTCTGTCCCAAAAAATATATCTTTCGAGCCTCCACATTGTTAACGGCGACGACGCAACACAATAATAAAAAAACAAAAACACATTTTTTATGACAATAATACACAATAAAAAAATAAGAATGCAAAACAAACAATAAAGTGGCTCGGGTTCGGTGCTCGGGTAGGCAGAAGAGAACTCAATTCGGGCTTCTGATTTAGATATTAAGGCTTCGGTGAGGGCATAAAATAGGCTTTCCTTCGTGTGATTTGCAGAAGAGGCGTGGTGGAGCAAAGGCTTCTTGCAGAGTTAGGCAGAAGGTTAGGGCAGAGGGGCAGAGGGATCGCACAGGTCATGACAAAGCAAGGAATGATCGCGGCTCAATTGGGTTGAGTTCGTGCGACATTTTTTCTTGAATAAACAAAAAGAGACAATAGAAGCGTACATGGCTTATGATAGAACAGGAAGGTGAAGTGGAGTAGAACAAAGCGGATGAGTTGAAAGGTGGCGGAGCAAGCAAGAGTAGTAGATGAAGGAGAGGAAGAACTAAAAGGAACGGAGGTGGGGGGATACCCCTTAGTTTTGGTTTGTTCCCTTATAACTGAGTAGAAGCGGGAGCAGTTACTGGGATGAGGGCTGGAGTGAATAGCTTTCTATTAATTAAATTTAATTAAATTTAATTAAATCTAATTAATAATATTAATTCTTTTAAATAATTTTTTAACGTCAACACAGTTGAAGCTTTTGTAATAAGACTAGGCCATACTGTTAGCTTGGAGCTAATGGTTCATATTGTCAATTTTTTTAGTTAACTAAGGCTTGCTCATCAAATCAACCATTAACTTCCAATATTTGAGAAACTTCTTGGGTAAGACAACCGATAATTGTTGACAAGAATGTATCCATGTAATGGCTAAGAATTATTGAATCGAGCTAAAAGTCATAGTTAGCTCACTAACTCGATGCTAATAAAGGATTGCACGCCAGAAGGGAATAAAACCATAGGATCCTGTCAGGACCGAGGAATTATTGCGTGCGGACACCGCATGCATCTCTGCATGCGGTGTCCGATCCTGACCGTAGATCACGGTGATCTATGGTCAGGATTATTTCCGTATTTTTTTTAAAAAAAAATTTGGTGGGGCCCACCGAAATACATCAGGACCGTAGATCAGGTGATTTACGGTCCGGATAGGACACCGCATGCAAGCTGCGTGCAGTGTCCGATCCGTATGGAATAATTTTTCGTCAGGACCTATTTCACAAGACCTAAAAAGTACCTCAGTCTTCCATAAATTCTCCAGTCATGTGACCGCATAATTAGGAGAGGTCATTAATTGTAAAAGTTTGTTGCCATAAGAAGTCTAGAAACGTAGGTTTAAATATATTATAATCTAACATTAAAAAAAAAAAACATAATTAAAAAAACCCAATTTACCTTAAGAGCTAAGAAAATTAGTGTGCACTATATGAAAAGAAACAAAATTGGTTTTATTTAGTGATCACAGGCCTTGTTGTCAATCCATATGTTAAAATTTTCAAAATCTATTATTTTGGCAATGTTTAGTTAAGGTGCCTTCTTGCAGAGGAGCCATCTCTCTCCCAATTATCTTACATACTTATGAAAAAACTTGTTATTTTAAATTTTTGTTTATCTGTATCATTTTTAAGGCTGCGTAAATTGTGCCCATAAATTTGAATTTACAACCCTCGCCCTTGACCCAAGTTGTCGCATGGCAATTGAGATCGACAACAATTCTCATTTAAATAACTTTATTAAGGATATTTAGTCTTTTATAAAATTTATCATTTAATGTTAGTTGAAAATAAACTTTAAAAATGCTCAATTTTTAAATTTATTGGAACAGAGATGCATTTCAGAAAATCATATTCCATAATGGAGCATTATAGAAAAAACTGTAGGATTAAGTGATAGAGTGACTAAATTTATCATATAAAATTAAGAAGAACAAATCAAAACTTAAAGAGAACAACAGCGCTGCCCGAGAAGAATTCTGAAAAAAATCCACAGGTTATATTGACATTAGTTAAAGATAATAATAACCATACCTTTAGATAATCCTTAGTTTCAGGATCATTGTTAACCACAGAACCAACATCATTCACAAGTTTGACTATTCTCTTTGCATTTGTATAGGTTGCAAATGCCTTTCCTCCAATCATGATGGTACGCGGAGTTGCTTTCTTCCTCCCTTCAGCGCCCATTTCCTAGAAAACCAACTTCATAGTTATCCAGATATTAAATTACAGCATGCAAAATCATAAAGTTACAACTTTTTTGGAAAGCAGCGAATCAGTTAAATTCTGCCCGCTAAATTGGGGTTGTATGTATTCTTCTATCAACTTTGGAGTTTCATGATACACCCCTCACCAACTATAGTTTGTGAATTTGAGGTAGAGGAGGGAAAAGCAGCCACAGCTTAATTTGAAAATTTTATGAAGTACTATTTAACAAACAAAATAAAGAGGTAAAGAAGGATATAAGAAGGAGATATCTTAACACCTTCAATTTTTTATATCTATAAACTGCCCCCAGAATGTTCAGCAGCTGCCTCTTATATTCATGGATGCGCTTAATTTGGATGTCAAATAGGCTGTTTGGATCAATTTCCACTCCTGTAATGTTAAATACATACTGTGCTAGGCGACTTTTGCTCGCCATCTTCGCTGAAGCCCATTCAGCATGCAACTCCTCATTGTCAGCAAACTGATAAAAAAACTTGCCATAAGAATGTGCATGAAGCCAATGGGTACTTTACAACACACTACATAAACATAGGAAGTGGCCAAATCTTGCATCAGTTAACAAGATTGAAAAACAACATACTTGACGAAGCCCAGAAAGGAGGTCAAGATTAGTGATCCAAGCATCACTGTTCAGCCACTTGGTAATTATGTTACTAAGCTCCTGGTTACAGAAACGTAGCCACCGACGAGGCGTAATACCATTAGTTTTGTTCTGAAACTTACCAGGCCATAAAGAAACATAGTCCGCAAATAGCTCAGACTTTAGGATATCACTATGTAACTGTGCTACCCCATTTACCTAAAATGTTTATAGTAATACCAGGTTCAGCGTTCAGGGAAGACAGTCATCAAATCAATAATACTATAATGGAGCACAAAAGTGACTGATCATGCCAAAAACTTCTAAAAGCAGCTAATAATATTTACAGAAGTTCATGCAAAAGAAGAATCGGACTTAGTTTTATGATTAGCCAGTCAAAAAAAAATTAGATCAATGGCATTCAAACTTCTGTACAGAGAGTTTAAGCAGCGTAGTTTTTATAAAATACTTCCTTTTTAATTATAATCTGGTTATAGATCTGCAAAATAATTGCTTGATTATAATGGGAAGAATATGAGAAGTTGCGGGTTTCCAAGAGACATGGAACTGCCTTACTGTGTGTGAAGAAACAACACACAAATTAGCCATGCGCACAACAGGTTTCTCTGGATTGGAACTATCCAGAATTTGCATCATTGGGAGCTTGCATTCCATATCAGTATGGCTGGAACGCACCATTTCTTTGAACTAAAAAAGATGTTGAAATGGGTGAGATTAAAGAACAGTCGGCCAAAAGAAACAGCACAAATATAAAAGAAAAGGAACATACCCTCTTATCAATTTCTTCAATAATTTCCATATGTCGGGGAAGAAGTTTCCAGAGTATAGCCTGTGACCATTTCTCTAATGCTTCAGGAAGAACTGTGTGATTGGTGTAAGAAATAGTCCTGGAGCCAAATAGCATTTCCAGTGCAAGTAGAAACCACATCAAACAATTAGGGAAGGCATCCTATTCTAATCAGGCGTGCAATCTCAATGATAAGAAATTAAAAGGAAGATTTACATGTCTACCATTCAATTCTTATGTGTTTACATCTCTAACTCCTAAATTCCAGTTTTTACATAAATGTCACCTCATCCATGCGTGAAAAGGTGTGTATTTCACTTTTTAGAAGTTAAAATAGTGATGTTTATATATAATATGAAAGATTTAGGTGGTATAAATGTAAAAAATAAAGTTTAGGTGTTAGATTTTAGAATAAAGTTTAGGTGTTAGATATGTAAATACATAAGAATAGGGTGGTATGTATGTAAATGCCCCAATTGAGGGAAAAATGCTGATGCACCTTGATGTCACATCCCAAGCTAAATCCCAACTAAGCCCTTCGACATCCAGCAATAGCCGCATTAGTTCTGGTATGGAAAGTGTGGGATGAGTATCATTCAATTGAACAGCAACCTTGTTAGGAAATTCCGTCCATTGACAAGTCTCTTTTCCATCTTTCCTCTCCTTGAATCTAGCAATAATATCCTGCAATATCAATTTTTTAAGGTCAATTGCATATTCAAAGAATTATTTTGTGAAAAAACTTACCCATTTCATTAACACTTGGGCTTATATAGTCTTACAACATTTACAAATAAATCTCTATATTTCTTCTATTTACAAATAGAACCTTACATTATATACAACACTCCCCCTCAAGATGGGCAAAAGATATCCACTAAGCCCATATTGTCACACAACCTAGACAAATCTAACGAGCTAAGTAGTTTGGTGAGCTAGTCAGCCACTTGCTCTCTAGTGACTAAATGACTTAGCTCCAATAGACAGTTATTCAACTTTTACTTGATGAACCTATCAAGCTCCACATGTTTGGTTCTATCATGTTGCACCAGGTTGTTGGCGATGTTGATCGCTGACTTGTTGTCGCACCACAACTACATTTTAGTTCTTTGGTCCACCTTGAGCTCTACCAACAAGACTGTCAGCCACATCATCTCAGCAACTCCTAAGACCATGACCCCATGCTCTGTTTCTGTTGTTGACCTTGCTACTACTACTTTTTCTTGCTCTTCGAAGAGACCAAGTTGCCTCCTACAAACATGCAGTACCCAAATGTGGACTTCCCGTCATCCATACAACTTGTCCAATCAGACTCACAACAGTTTTCAACTTCCCTAATGCATTCTTCAGGTGCCTCAGAATCTGATGTACTACATCCATGTGACCCTTCCTCGAATCATGCATGTAGCAACTCACCATACTTACTGCAAATGATATGTTGGGACAAGTGTGACTTAGATAGATGAAACGATCTACCAACCTTTGGTACCTCTCACAATTAACTAGGTCTTCCCGCCTTAGTGCTCAACTTTCCCTTCTGATCAATTGATGAAACTTCAGGCTTGCATTCCAACAAGTCTGTCTCTTTGAGCAAGTCCAACACATACTTTCTCTGAGATAGAATAATCCCCTCTGCTCCACAAGCCACCTCAACTCTGAGAAACTATCAGACTCCAATAGTTTTCAATGCTTATATGTCAATTCTTCCTGAAGATCAACCCATTCCCTAATGCATTCTTCAGGGTGCCTCAGAACTGATGTTCTACATCCATGCGACCCTTCCTCGAATCATGCATGTAGCAACTCACCATACTTACCGCAAATAATATGTTGGGACAAGTGTGACTTAGATCAATGAGACAATCTACCAACCTCTAGTGCCTCTCGCGATTAACTGGGTCTTCCCGCCTCACTGCTCAACTTTCCCTTCTGATCAATTGATGAAACTTCAGGCTTGCATTCCAACAAGTCTGTCTCTTTGAGCAAGTCCAACACATACTTTCTCTGAGATAGAACAATCCCCTCTGCTCCACGAGCCACCTCAACTCTGAGGAAGTATCTCAGTTGTCCTATGCCCTTCACCTCAAACTTTTTGCCAAAACATGTCTTCAGCTGAGTAATCTCTCCCTCATCATCCCCAGTGATAATCATATCATCCACATACACAACAAGAATAGTAATGTGACCACTACATCGTTGAAAGAATATTGTGGTCAGCATTGATCTGTTGATAACTCATGCCTACCATTGCTTTCTTGAACTTGTCAAATCAGACTCGAGAAGATTGTTTCAAGCTATACAGTGATTTCCTGAGCCTACACACCTTGCTCATTGTCTGAGATATATTGAATCCTGGTGGTTTTTCCATATATACCTACTTCAGTAGCTCTCCATGAATAAAAACATTTTTCACATCCAGTTGGTGGAGTCTAATCTCCATTTACAATTCACTGTCAGAGAAGCCAGTGTTCTCACTGTGCACATCTTTGTGATCGGTGCAAAGATTTCATCAAAGTCAATGTCATACATCTGATTGTACCCTTTTGTCATTGGTCATGCTTTGTACCTCTCTACCTTCCCTTCTAGAGTTTGCACTACCGAAAAAATCCACTTGCATCCAACAACCTTCTTCCCCGTTGATAGTGGTACAATTTCTAATGTTTGATTTTTATCAAGAGCTCATGCATCGTCGCTTTCCACTTGAGATCTTCTTTAGCAGTTGTTGACCTCATTTTTGTGAGGTCTTAATCTCCTACTCGCAGAACCCATAATCTAGCCTTAGGAGTTCCTGGTTGACCATCCTAGCGGACTAGTAATGGAGCCCACCTCCCGTAGAACTTCAA